TTTTTTTTTTTTTTTTTTTTTTTTTTTTTTTATTATTTTAAACATTTTAAAATTTCACATATCTGTTTTGTTTATCTTATATAAGATTATATTAAGACTTTGTTACACATTTTTTATTGAATTATTTTTGTTTTAAAATTTTTAACTTTATAAATAAACTTTGTAAACATATAAAATTTTGTAAAACTGTTTTTTTTTTTTTTTTTTTATTGCAAATATTTATAAATATCTATAAAAAGAAAATGTAAAATATAAATATAAAGCATCTTTTAATTTATAAATATAACATTATAAAATGAAAATAATATTTATTTAAAAGAAGTTTATTGAAAAAAAAAAAAAAAAAAAATATAGTAAAAAGCATACAAAATAAAAATTTTACTATAAAAAATATTAGTAATCCACTTATAAAAATATTTCGCAATATCACAATTAAATATAGACTAAAATTTTTGATTATAATAAATACAAATATTTACAGTAATCACATTTTATTTTTATTTTAGTGCTTTAAATTTTATGAAAAAAAAAAAAAAAAAATTTATATTTAATAAAGTAAAAATATATATTTTTTAATATTTTATAATTTACAAAAAATCAAGAACTAACAAAATAATTTAAAAGATAGAATAAAATATGAAAGAATTAAAATATATATGGTAAGAATGTGAATAATAATTTAAAAAAGAATCATTTTTTTTTATTTTTTACATTTTTTTTATAATATTTTAAGATATCAATTTACTTAGCATTTCTAATTATAATTAAAACACCCCAAATAATAGCCCATATCCATCCAACTATTGGTGTAATAAATTGTAATATACCTATTATTAAATCATCTATATCTTTATTTATTATTCCTAATATTATCATACCCATACCGAAAAAAAAAATATTTAATACACCCAAAATTATATTAACTGAACTGTTTCCATTCTCTGGTACTTCAAGATTACTAATTTTGTTTATAATAGTTGACATTTTTATTATATAAAAAGATTTTCTAAATTATTTTTATTTTATTATTTTTTTTTTTCCTTATTTTTTATATCTATATAAATTTATAAAGGTACATTATATATAATTCTTAAATAATCTCTACCTTATATAAAATGAAAATCTTTCTCTAAGTTACCATTTAAAAAAAAATAAAATAAAATAAAAATAAATCTTATATTTTTAATTTTTTCTATTACTAATTGAACTTTTTTTTTTTTTTTTTTTTTTTTTTTTTTTTTAATATAAAAAAAAATAATGAAAAGTGAATGATATAATGCAAGTCATAAAAATTTTTATTTGAATTTTCTTTTTTCCCTTTTCTTTTTTTTTTTTTTTTTCTTAGATATAATTGATAGCATTTTATTCAATTTTAAAAAAAAATTTAAGGTCCTAAATATGAAATATTTTTTTTTATTTTCATTGAGTTCTTATGTAATTTTAATTTAATTATTTCAGATCAATTTTTCCTTTTTTTTTCCTTTTTTTTTTACTTTTTTTTTTTCTATTTTTTTTTTTTCCGAAAACATTTCATTCCATATATATTTAGGAGGAAATTTTTTTCATTTCTACATAAATTTTTCATAATTTACAATTTCAATACACTAAGTAATATCTAACATATATAAATATAGAAGTTATATTTAGTAAAATTTTGAAGTTGTAAAATACTTGATATAATAAAAAGAAAAAAAAAATTATCAAAAGAATAAAACTTTAATATTTTATTAATAAGAAAATATACTTTAAAAATGAAAATTCATTTCTGAAGAGAAGAAATATTTATATAAATATAATTATGATATTTTTTATTTTAAGAAAGTAATCTATATATAGAAAAAAAAAAAGTAATTTTTCATTTTTGTCTTAGTTTCAAAATTGCACGTTAATAATACTACATAAAAAAAAACAAGAAAACATTCTTTTTTTTTTTTTCTTTAAAAATATATATGAAATTTTAAAATTTTATTAAACATTTCAATATTTAAAATATATTATAAACTACTTATTAAGTTAATAGAATAAAAGCATAATTATGAAGGATATTACAATATATTTTTTTTTTTTTTTTATACTAATATAAAATATGTTTTAAGATAACTATATATTAATTATGATTGAACTTAAATTTTAACTTTCCTTAATTTAATGAAACTAAATTTTTATTTTTCTAATTATTTTAAATTTTTAAAAAAATAATTAATTTAAAAATAGTTGCAATTCATTTTAATAAACGACATATATTTTTTTTATTTTTTACAATAATTCAGAAATAGTAACCATAAATAAAAAGAATAAAATTTGTTATATGAATAAATAATTACATTAAAAAAAAATGAAGTTACTAATAATATGATATGAATAATTTAACTTTTTTTTTTTTTCTTTTTATTTAAATCATTATAAGGAATATCTTATGTATATTTATCTTTTTACTTGAAAAATTAAAAATGCACCTACCAATATGTTCATCCGTTTCATATATTGAAAGAAAAAACATATTTTTTTTTATAGAGTAAAAAAAAAAAAAAAAAAGAAAAAAAAAAAGAAAAAAAGAAGAGGAAAAAGAAAAAAGGAAGAGAGAAAAAAGTAAGAGATTCAGTATCTACATTATCTAAATAGGAAGATGTATTTTTTTTTAATTATTTTATCTTCATTATATATCATGAAAATTATTTTTAGAAATTAAATTTTTCTCAAATATTCGTAAATCTTTACTTAATTTTTTTTTTTTTTTTTTTTTTTTTCCT